ATTTAGCTACGCGCTAGTCTATTTATATACGGCCACTGTCATACGGCCTCAGTGATAATTGCAGTACAACAACCGTGATAACAATATTGTACTAGCTGATCGGCGTAACTTGTCTGCATCACACTTAGTAGATATTTATTAGACAGCCTCGGTGGTCTAGTGGTTTAGCACACTGCTTTGCTATCCGATGGTCGTGGGTTCGATTCGATTTGTATCGCACGGTACAAACATTTGTATTCAAGAGTATGATTGTTTGTATCGGTCTGGTGTTCTCTATGTATAATATGTAATTATTTACAACAAAAAAAAAATGTATCCATGTATTTATATCAGTTGTCTAGTACCCATAAGACAAGCTCTGCTTAGCTTGGGACTAGATGGCGTGTGTGACACCGTGAATTATCCTGAGATATTATTATTCTTATTATTTATTAAATACTAGCTACTCGCCCCGGCTTTGCAGGGCTGTACATGTATAATATATGACTCAAAGGTGACTGACATAGTGATCTATCAACGCACAGCCGAAACCACTGGACGGATCGGGCTGAAATTTGGCATGCAGGTAGGTGTTATGACGTAGGCATCCGCTAAGAAAGGATTTTGGTATTCCTCCCCTAAGGGGATAAAATAGGGGATGAAAGTTTGTATGAAAATTTGTCAATTTTACACCGATCGGCTGAGACTTTGCATGCATAAAGCTACTATAACGTAGGCATCCCCTAAGAAAGATTTTTGCTAAATTCCACCCCTAAGGCGATAAATTAACGCGAACGATGCCGCGGCAAAGCCTATTTATATAATATATTTACTCTTACAAATAAGATCATATAATCATAAATCTTTCCTCTAAATAATATTAAGTCCAATAATTAATTTATTATTAAACGAATACAAGCGCAGTCAGAGGAAGCAGTAGATATAACATACATAATAGGCTGGTAATATACACTCAGTCGTCAGGTTGTCCGAATGTTTACAAGCTAACATCCCGATGAAGCTATATAGCATATGGTAGTCATTTCCATATTAACGCGATAAATAAATTGACGCGAGCGTAGCCGCGGGCAAAAGCTAGTATAAGATAAAGCCATCACACTTTGTCGACCCAAAATATGAATACCAAAGTTTATTTACCAGCTGCAATCTACACGCCAAGGGACAATTACCCTATTATATATAAACCTCAAAGTTCAATTCACAATGACCTCTAGACCCTTGCAATTGGTATTACAATTGCATGCATGTCTGACAAACGAACATAACAGATAAATTACTACACATTTATGTGAATGAGTATGATTCATACAGACTGGATTATGACAAATGTTGCGTAAGAGGCTGAATGTAAACGTAGCATTATATTACATTTACATTCAGCCGCTTCCCCTGCCACTCGCGCTGCCAGAACGATTGCCGGGCGACAACTGAGCGAGAGCGGCTACGCTTGCGTTAATTTATCTCCTTAGGGGTGAAATTTGGCAAAAATCTTTCTTAGGGGATGCCTACGTCATAGTTCCTTTATGCATGAAAAGTCTCAGCCCGATCGGTTTAAAATTGACAAAGTTTCATACAAACTTTCATCCCTTATTTAATCCTTTCTTAGCGGATGCCTACGTCATAACATCTACCTGCATGCCAAATTTTAGCCCAATCCGACCAGTGGTTTGGGCTGTGCGTTGATAGATCACTATGTCAGTGACCTTTGAGTTATATATATAGATAGATATAAAATTCTCGTGTCACAACGTTAGTTACCATACTCCTCCGAAACGGCTTGACCGATTTTTATGAAATTTTATATGCATATTTAGTATGTCTGAGAATCTGCTTCTATCTATATTTCATACCCCTAAGTGATAAGGGATGTCCATCCCTAACATATTTTTTTAATTTTGGACATTTTTATTTTTTATTCCTTTATAATATGGCTATAAAAATACATACAACCCTAAATTTTCACCCTTCTACTATCAACCCCTATTTTTTTAATAGCGATTTTAATTTATATGGCAATACGTTTGCGGGGTCAGCTAGTACATAGTATAAAACACAGTCGCCGCCGCTGTCTCTTCGCTTCGTGAACTCGTGACCATTGGTGGTAAAGCGCTGAGCTAAACCGCTAGACCGAGGTTTATGAATGAAGCATACTCATTGAAAGAAATCCGTGGACTTAGCGATGTGATTCTATTATCTATTGTGTGCGGCGCATGCGTGCGTCACACTACGCGTAGGTATTGTGTTACAACATTGTTAGCGTCCATTTTATTGTCAACTTATCTTAGACTAGCTGCCCCGCGCAAGTTTGTCTGCATCACACTTACTTGACATTTATGATTACATATCGCCCAATTTACATATTATCAGACTAGTTGCCCCGCGCAACTTCATGACTATTATCATATTTATCACACTTACTTGACATTTATCATTAAATGACAATAAATAGGCGGTAAGAACCCTTCATCAGACGCGAGTGCAGTTTTCATATGCTTAACCCGCTAGATCCTTTTGCCCAAGTTACATATTATCAGTCTGGCTACCCTGTGCAACTTCATCTGATTTACTTACTTTACATTTATCATTACACTTCGCCCAATGTACATATTATCAAACTAGCTGCCCCGCGCAACTTCGTCTGATTTACTTACTTTACATTTATCATTACACTTCGCCCAATGTACATATTATCAGTCTGGCTACCCTGTGCAACTTCGTCTGAGTTACTTACTTTACATTTATCATTACACTTCGCCCAATGTACATATTATCAGACTGGCTACCCTGTGCAACTTCATCTGATTTACTTACTTTACATTTATCATTACACTTCGCCCAATGTACATATTATCAGACTGGCTACCCTGTGCAACTTCGTCTGAGTTACTTACTTTACATTTATCATTACACTTCGCCCAATGTACATATTATCAGACTGGCTACCCTGTGCAACTTCGTCTGAGTTACTTACTTTACATTTATCATTACACTTCGCCCAATGTACATATTATCAGACTGGCTACCCTGTGCAACTTTCTGAGTTACTTACTTTACATTTATCATTACATTGTACATATTATCAGACTGGCTACCCTGTGCAACTTCGTCTGAGTTACTTACTTTACATTTATCATTACATTTCAACCAATTTACATATTGTCAGACTGGCTACTCTGTGCAACTTCGTCTGAGTTACTTACTTTACATTTATCATTACACTTCGCCCAATGTACATATTATCAGTCTGGCTACCCTGTGCAACTTCGTCTGAGTTACTTACTTTACATTTATCATTACACTTCGCCCAATGTACATATTATCAGACTGGCTGCCCCGCGCAACTTCATCTGAGTTACTTACTTTACATTTATCATTACATTTCGCCCAATTTACATAATATCTTTGTAATTTATAGCTTATGTTATGGTTACTTGATGTTTAAGCTATATTACTGTAATGTTTCATCGAAATTTGTTTAATAGTTTTTGCGTAAAGACTATCAAATGTCCTCAAACTTTCGCGTTTGTAATGTTATTTATTTAATTAACAATAATTTTACATATTTCCAATCTACCTTTTCAATAGTAGTAGTAGGTAACTATTTTACCGAATTATGTGTTATTTTACGAAAGTCCACTTTTTTACATAATTTTACGTTTTCGTTTATAAATTTTATAATTATAAAACAGGCATAAAACTCGTCTTCTCTCTTCTGCTTGCTATTCTTAATGGGGTCCATGACTGATCAGAGTAAACTTCTCGGCATTCTCGGCTACAAATCCAACCGAGAAATTTGTCTCGGTTCTCGGCTAATTGTAGCCGAGATTCTCGGTCATGACCGAGATTATAACTTTGTTCGGATCGGCATTACGCGAAGTCGATTGGTAAGTGCGTGAGAGAACTGAATTGTGATTGGTTGGAACAAGAGTTAGTTGCAGATGCCGTCTAATCTCTGATCTGATCCTGCATGCATATGAGACATGGCTGCAACAAATCAATCCAACTTATGGGCGGCTCGTGATTCGATACAGGTGGAAGACGAGTGATGATGTCGATGACCAATGACGAATACATTTCAAGATCTGTGATCGAAATAGCGCTACAAAGCTAGAGAGCTAAGACTGCAAAGAAATTCGTCACCTTATAAGGTGATTACTACTGCAACAAATAATTTTTATTAATATAGCAAGTGAACAACTGATTAGCAAAGCTGTACAATTGTATGACGAGAGGCGACACTCTTTGAAAGGCGAAAATGCCGAAAAATTACTATTTTATGTTATAATATAATGTTATATTTAACTTTGATTATTAAAACAGTTATTTTTGTTAAACAATTAGTAATGTATTGAAAAGTAAACAGTATTAAAAAAAATACGCTTTGTCTATTCTCGGTCTCGGCCGAGAACGAAAACCTGTCTCGGTCGAGCCTTATTGAATTGTAAATCGCTTATTGAATTGTAAATCGCTTACATTTAGAATTTACCATGATGCTCTAACTGACTGAACTCATGCTCATCTTATCATCCTATACTGGTAGTGTAAACCGTTATTATTTTGTTGTAATAACAAATTAATAATAACAAAATAATTAATAAAATATAACAATATAATAACAGGCGGGCGCACTATTCCATTATCATTCAATAATAAAAATAAAATATTTGGATAAATATGAATAATAATCCATGACAATTCATACAGCGCCATCTAGTCCCAAGCTAAGCAAAGCTTGTGTTATGTGTACTAGTCAACTGATGAGTACTAGATGTATTTACAAAAAATGTATCTACATTTATTTTTTGTAAATACATATATAAAGTACTTAGAAAACACCCAGACCGATACAAATAATCATACTCATGAATACAAATGTTTGTACTGTGCGAGGAATCGAACCCGCGACTATTGGAAAGTAAGGCAGTCTGCTAAGCGCTGAACCGCCGAGGCCAAACGAAATAAATAGAATATAACATAATGTGTGACCCCTTTTGTTACAGGACAATGGGAGAAGCTGCCGCTGTGGACCCTGGAGCGAGAGCTGGTGGTTCAGGACATCGCCGAGAAGGAGAGCATCAAAGTGCTGGAGAAGGCAACAGTGCCAATTGTGAAGATGACTGACAAATATTCTGATGTGAAGGTGAACTCTATTACCAGTGTATTAAGATAGTTATTCCCAAAGCAAATTACTCCGCAATTAAATATAGATAAATCTTACTTAATAATATAATAAACGTGGAAGTTTGTGAGTGTGGATCCATCCATCCATGCATACCATGGATGTCGGTCTCGGTGGTCTAGCGGTTTAGCACACCGCTTTACTTCCTATGATCGCGGGTTCTATTCCTCGCACGGTACAAATATTTGTATTCATGAGTATGATCGTTTTTATCGGTCTGGGTGTTCTCTATGTATATGTATGTATTTACTTCTATCTTAATAGTATTATAAACCCGATAGTTTGTGAGTATGGATGGATGTTTGTTACTCTTTCATGCAAAAACTACTGAATGGATTTTAATGAAACTTTACAGTAATATAGCTTATACATCAGAATAACATATAGGTTATAAATTTCATGCAGGTGAAACCCCGGGTACGGCTAGTATAAAATAATAAATTTATAAAATTTTAGTTGCACCGATTTTGACGGGACTTTCACACGCAGATAGCTAATGTTATTAGAAGTGACTTAGACTACTTTTAGTTTGGAAAGTTTATTTATATTAATTCCAAGCATAGCAAATCAGCACAAACACCTAGTCATATATAATGTAAGGTCATTTTTGTGTTGCCAGGTGGACATTTCATTCAACATGAGCAGCGGTGTCAAAAGTGCCGAGTTGATCAAACAGTACAAGGTCAGTATTACCCATTGAGACTCCACTACTGAGCATGGGCTTCTTTCCCTTTTTTTAGGTAAATCTTTACCATACAATCTTGTCGCCCAAGATATTTATTTCTAATGCCTGAAAAAAGATTAAAATGTCGCGTAAAATACTGTCCTTGTAAAAATGCTTTACTATTACTACATAGTATAAAATAAAGTCGCTGTCTGTCCGTCCGTATGCTTAAGTATTTAAAACTACGCAGCACTTTTTGAAGCGTTTTTTTTTCTAGATTGATTCAAGAGAAAGGTTTATATATTATAATGTACACCCGTGCAAAGCCGGGGTGGGTAACTAGTGTGGTATAAAATACTTTCACTGTAAAAATGCTTATAACATAATTCAAATGATAATAATTTGTTGTCTAGTACCCATAACAAAAGCTCTAATTACCTTGGGACTAGATGGCGCTGTTTGAATTGTCCAGGGTTATGGAATAGAATAGCTTAGAAAATTATTTATTCAAATAAACTTACATTGAAGCACTTTTGAATAGTCATTAGTTATATTTTTTAATCTATCTCATTCGATCACAAGAAGAACGAACAAGAAACTTGCGTGTTGCTCTTTTAAATAATTTTATTATTACTTTACATTTTTAAGTTTAAGTGTGTGAATACAAACCACTAATTAGCACTAATTCAATTAAATACTCAAATAGAAAAAATTGAATATAAAAACAACTGGTTAAACAATTAATAAGAGGAAATCAGTCATAGTGATTAGAGCAGACCAGTCCCTACAAGTTATTATTAAATTTTTATTATTATCTTTACATAGTATAAAACAAAATCGCCTCCAATGTAATACCTTACCTTGTAATTTACGCAACTGATTTTATATATATATATATATATATATATATATATATATATATATATATATATATATATATATACTTTATTTATTATTTATATATTAATCCTTATCCTCACTAACATAATATTATTAATGCAAAAGTAATTCTCTCTGTCAGTCTGTCGCACGTTCACGCCAAAATTACTGAACCGCTTTATATGAATTTTGGTGGATAGTCTTGACCCTGAGAAAGAACATAGGCTACTTTTTAATGAGAGGGATTGTAAGGGTTTAAAAGGTTGTACGTTTTTTATTTTTTTAGGCGGTTGATTAATTGTAAATAAATAGCATACAAGTTTATAAAAAAAATATTTGTTATGCAAATTTGTCATTTTTTAATATGAAACTTTTTTTCTTTGGCTTTCTTGGGTTTGATTATTAAATATTTTTTCTTTATTTGGTCACAATCACTTAATTGTATGCAAATAATATATTACAAATTGGATGCAAAATAAAGTTTATTATTGTCTGTTTTTCACAGCTTAAGTTTGTGATTAGTACTGAGGGCGGGACATGCCAAGCCTCTAGTTACTTTATTTTGCTTGATGGTTTATTCTGTGGCATTTAGGAAGCGACGGACTATTGCATATGTATCTACGATAACGTCTTTTTATTATTATTTCTTTATATATATATTATATCTCCCTTTGATGGGGTAATAGACCTATCACTGCGGGTAAAAATCACCAAACAATATAAATGATGAATGATGAGGATGGATAATTTTTAAGTGGAAGACAAATATTTGAGGACTATTCGACAAGTGTTTAGTATTACAGCTTTTTGGAGAAGTATGAAATAAGTGGGTGAAGTTTTAATATCTTGAAGCTAGTGTGTCGGGATGCTGGGATGACACCTGTGGACGAGATAATAATTGGGAGAGATTTCACTGTTTCTACCTGCCATTGTATTTTTAGTTTTATTGCCAGATCAGTATATTTAGCAATTATTGTTATTACTTAAAGTATTAACACACAGCAAAACTGTTTTTGCCTTCTGATGGGAGACTATATGATAGTATCATATTTAAAGATATTGAAATTTTGTTCCACAGGAAAAATACCCAGTGCTCTCCCCTCTGGTGATGGTTCTGAAGCAGTTCCTGCTCCAGCGGGACCTGAACGAGGTGTTCACCGGCGGCATCTCCTCCTACTCCCTAATACTGATGTGCATCAGCTTCCTGCAGCTCCACCCGAGGCCTGAACGAGTGCGCCGCTGCAATAACCTTGGTGTTTTGCTCATTGAGTTCTTCGAGCTGTATGGCAGGAAGTTCAACTACGTGAAGACAGCCATCAGGGTGAAGAATGGAGGATCCTATGTCTCCAAGGATGAGATACAGAAAGTTTGTACTGTTTTTTTTACTCCTGTAATCGATCGTTGTCTAGTGTTTTGTTTATGGGTGCTAATGGAATGGTGCACCCGCCTGCGCTAACGGTTTACGCTGGCGGGGCACCAGTGGAGGTTAAGATGAGCACGAGGTCAGGTCTGTTAGCTTCTCATGATATTGTGCCTACACTTGTAATATTCCTTTCTATACTCGGCACCTTTCCATTATTAAGAGAGTCCATGTGACAACGCGTTGAATAAAATAACCCTGGCCAATTAACAGCGCCATCTAGTCCCACGGCTTACCATGTTGTTTAGTATCCATAACATAAGCTCTGCTTACAGAGCTTGTGTTATGGATACTAAACTAAATAATGACCGCGTCAAACTTAAAACAGTTAATAGGCCAGTTTTCTAACAATCCCTTTCACACACATTGAATAATTGCTTCTTTATTGTCCAGGAAATGAATGATGGCCATCGACCATCTCTATTGTGCATAGAGGATCCCTTAACGCCGGGCAACGATATTGGACGCTCAAGTTATGGAGCTATGCAAGTCAAGCAGGTATGTATAATAATTATCTATACATATAAACAAAATTGGAGTGTCTGTTTGTAATATTGAAATAACCGTTTTTTACTAGATGCATATGAATGTAAATGTTCAAAATCTACTCTGTATCATCGTAAGCACAGATTATTATATTAGAGTCCGTTAGTTTGTGTTCCCGCGCTTTGCCTTCCCCTCCCTTACCTAGTACTGAACCGACTGTACGGCGGCCATGACGCGCGCGCATTGTGTTGTGAATTAAAATAAATTAGAACTGTGAAACCTACTGTGAAACTGGAAAGCTAGCGAAGATATCTTCGAGACCCTGAAGCCCAAGAAATCCGCAGAACCATACAGGTACGTGACTGACGCTTCCACTCATTTTTCACTATATATATACAGAGAGTAAATTCCCTAACATTTTGGTAGCAGAGTAATTTCCCAAACACGGCACATACAAATTAACATTTTTTACAATTTTTGACTGTCTGTCTGTTGCTTTCGGCTAATCTCTGAAATGGCTGGACCGATTTTGACGGGACTTTTATTGGCAGGTAGCTGATGTAATAAGGAGTAACTTAGGTTACTTTTATATTGAAAAAATAAAGTTAATTTCCACGCGGATGAAGTCGCGTGTAGAGCTAGTCAAAAGTAAGTTTGACGACGTAAATCGAAACGACGTAAGTCGAGGACTGCCTGTAATAGTAATATGGTATTGATGTGAGTGTTGTTTTGGGTGTGCAGGCGTTCGACTACGGGTACATCTGCCTGCAGCAGGCTCATTGAAGAGAATAATAGTGATATAGTATTGATGTGAGTGTTGTTTTGGGTGTGCAGGCGTTCAACTATGGGTACATCAGCCTGCAGCAGGCTCATTGAAGAGGATAATTGAGATATAGTATTGATGTGATTGTTGTTTTGGGTGTGCAGGCGTTCAACTACGTGTACATCAGCCTGCAGCAGGCTCATTAAAGAGGATAATAGTAATATAGTATTGATGTGAGTGTTGTTTTGGGTGTGCAGGCGTTCAACTACGGGTACATCAGCCTGCAGCAGGCTCATTAAAGAGGATAATAGTAATATAGTATTGATGTGAGTGTTGTTTTGGGTGTGCAGGCGTTCAACTACGGGTACATCAGCCTGCAGCAGGCTCATTGAAGAGGATAATTGAGATATAGTATTGATGTGATTGTTGTTTTGGGTGTGCAGGCGTTCAACTACGGGTACATCAGCCTGCAGCAGGCTCATTAAAGAGGATAATAGTAATATAGTATTGATGTGAGTGTTGTTTTGGGTGTGCAGGCGTTCGACTACGGGTACATCAGCCTGCAGCAGGCGGTGGCGCCGCACAACACTCTGCTGGCTCGCTGCAGCGTGCTGGGCCGCGTGCTGCGCGTCACGGACCACGTGCTGCAGTACCGGCGCTGGGTGCGCGACACCTTCCAGCCGTACTTCTTCCCGCGGCTGCGCGCAGTCGAGCCCGCGCGCTCGCCCACGCCCACTCCCACGCCGACGCCCACGCCCACGCCCTCGCCTTCGCCGTCGGATACCGACCCGGTGAGTAGTATTACGCGTGACATCAGCGTCGTCAGTGGAACTTGCTGGGCCCATAACCTGATAATAAAACCCAATGATAGCAACAGCGAGACATCGGATCACCAGATCTTAACTTACGATGTGACGTTAATGTAAGTGCAGCATGTTTACTGGGCCCATAGTCTGTTAATAAAATAATAGTAGCAACATTATTACACCGATCCGATGAGTAACAATACGTGCATGACGTCAGTCCGTGTCAGTGAAAGCTGGCTGGGCCCATAACCTGATAATAAAACGTAATGGTAGCATCAACAGGATAGACACGCTCTCACAATGAAGGTTGCTGGGCTCATAATCTTTAACTTAATTAACCCATAGAAATGGGTTACTGAATTATGAAAAAATATTAATTTTTTTTCATAATATCCCTTGGAAATCACCATGTTAAGTTCCTGGCGAATTTGTCACGACGTTCATCCTATCGTCCTCTGCTAATCTAAACCCGCCAGCGTAAACCTTTACCGCAGACGGATACAACCTAAAAAAGTCCATAATATTTTCCTTTCTTCATATAAGTAAGAATATGTATAATAAAAATATGTATTGTGGGTACAGGAGTGGTCGGACAGCGGGTCCCGCGCGGCGGGCACGCCCCCGTCCCCGGTGGCGGAGGCTGTCCCCGCGGGGCCGGGCGGCGCGGGGCCAGCCCCCGCCGCGACCTGTGTCCCCGCTGTCCCCGCTGCCCCCGCTGTCCCCGCGGCGGGCGGGCGCACGTCCCCGCCTCCGCTGTCGGCGCTGCAGTGCTCGTCGCCGACGCCCCGCCGAGTCTCCGCTCACCAGAGCCTCATCATACACCACATTACGAGCAACTCCGACTTCAACAATATACCCTCAGGTACACACCGTTCATTGCTTGTTTTTTATCTACCTTTTATATGCCCTATATACTTATTGTTTGCCCGCAAACGTTGTGTTGCCATAAATTAAAATCGCTATTAAAAATAGGAGCTGCTTATAGAAGTGTCAAAATGTATGATTTTATGTATATAGTGTCAAGTGTGCGCCTTCTGCCTTCTCTCTCTATGTAAATATTTGAATAAAAATTGCATTTGTAACGTAATGTTAAATTAAATATTTATTATGGTCTAGCGGTTTAGCACTCCGCCTTACTTACGATGGACGTGAGTTCAATTCCTCGCAAAGTACAAACATTTGTATTCAGTATGATTGTTTGTATCTGGATTATTTATGTGACTATCATGTATGTATTTACGAAAAAAAAATTTAAGTATTCATATAAGTTGACTAGTACCCATAATACAAGTTTTGCTTAGTTTGGGACTAGATGGCGCTGTGTAAGTTATAAAGAGCGCCATCTAGTCCCTGAGATATTATTTCCAATTGCCCTAAAGTAAGCAGACCTCATGTTATGGGTACTAGACTAATATGAATACTTAAATTATTATTTTGTAAAAACACATAGACAATATCAAAAATAATATGCATTGATACAAATGTTTGCAACCTGTGATAAATCCAACCTGCGACCATCTATTCTATGAACCGCTATACCATAGACACCGTCTACCATCCCTTCATGATCTCAGAAGACGTCTAAATAACTCGTACTTCCCTCCAGGCGTAATACAACGATACAGCAGTGGTGAGAACAAGAACCGGAACCCGCGCTCGTACGCCAAGCAACGGCGGTACGCGTCGCCCCCCGGGCCCGCGCCCCCCTCCCACCCCGCGCCCCCCGGCGGCCCCCACCCCCGCCGCCACGAGCCGCGCCACAACAAGAAGCGCAGACAAACCCACCACACGCACCCGCCGCGATGACCACGCGCCAACCGCAACTCTCACTAGGTTAGTACGTAGGTAGATGCGTGTCGACTGTACGTACGTACGCGTTGGAATTGCGACTTTAATGCGTATGTGTTAAGATCCGATTTCAAATGACATTTCAATTGGAACTTTTCTACCTGTTGTAACAAAATGCGGTAACTCAAAATGGTATATATGAGAAATCGACTTTATTGCGTCTGTGTTAAGGTCGGGTTTCAAATAATGCAACTTTCTATTGAGTGAATGTTACAATCAAAGATCACACCGATTTGTAAACAGTAATGAAAGTAACCTAATCTATGTTAAAACCTTAAACAGATTGCATAGTTACATAGTAATATTATTATTTTCGAAAGGCAATCATGGACAGCAATTTAAAACCTTAATAATGAATCTGTGGCAAGAAAAGCTTACAAGAATGGCGTACTGCAACATTAGTATTACAGATTTATACAAACACTATGTTCTTAGAGACGCCGAAGTAATTATTTTTTAATTTATCTGGCTTTGGCTACAACGTTCGGCGATCTAGCGGCGTAAACCTGCCCAAGATAGGTTCTTTTTAAATATATCACATACAAACATGTCGCTAGAGACTCAAGTCTGCTGTAGTATTTTCTTTTTAATCTTTTTAAATTTATTAGGCTTTAACTACAACGCTTATATGGCGATCTAGATTCGTAGGTGAAGCATATCATGGGACCTAATTTGTCTTTATAACATTATAAATGTACCGTAATTTGAAACTAAATGATGATAAAAATGTAACTTTAACGTTTAAAAAAACATAACGTAATAATCAAACGATATGTTGACGTTTAAGATAACGTTACGTTAAAATGAAACGTTGTTAGGAACGAAACGTTTAAAGTAACGTAACGTAAAAATGTAAAAGTTCTTAGAAACAAAAAACGGTTACATTTAAATCAATTTATGTAAAAATGTAACGTTGTTAGAAAAATGTAAACGAAAAGTGTACGTTTTAAATGCCATTACATAAAAATGTAACGTTCTTAGAAACAAAAACGTTAACCTGTAAAATAACGTAACGTAATTGTAAACGGAATGTTAAAGTTTAAAATAATTTAATTTGAAATTATATTGATTTTACGTACCATGTAAGAATTTATATATGCCATAATGTAATAGCAATTTTGAAGTCAAACTGTGTTCTAAGACAGGAATATATATATATGTCTTGTATGTTATATGACATATATATGTAAACTCATGTAGGCTCAACTTGCCAAGTACAATAGCAATTAAAAAATCGACTAATGATCTAAGGCGCTATACCATACGGTTCATGAACATGTCGGTTAAATAGAAAAATGGCAGTACTCAAAATGTACATTATTGACTCCTTGTAGACAAGTATTGTAAATTTATTAATTTATTCAAATTATTTTTCCCTTTAAAGTTCTAAATTGACACAGAAGTATTGTATATCATTTTAAAAGTGTTTAGATAATGATTAAGACGGCGTGGTTAATTTAATTGACTTATATAAAAGGAGGCAATTCTAGCTTCTAATTTTGAAAAATGTCTTTTTTCTATTTAATCGACGATGAGTAATTTTTTTTATTATTATTAAAATGTTAATTAGTGAACTAACTACTGAGAGTACGGTCGGCACCAAAAACGTATCAAATAACAATATTGTAAAGTTATCTAGCTAAAATGTATGAATTCAAAGTATTAGGTTATGGGCCCAGAGAGCTGTGAGGGCGTACTAGTTGAAGCGGTGAAAGTGTATGATAGAAGTTACCTGGTGCTTGTAGATGTAATTCATTTGGCACATTGCATTTCGTATAGACTAACAAAATGCAATAACTCAAAATGTTGTATATGAGTAATCGACTTTATTGCGTATGTGTTAAGGTTGATTTTCAAATGTCTGTTACTACGTATCGTACGCAATGTAATAGAATGTATTTATTCAGAATGATACATTCGAATAATCGACTTTATTGCGTATGTATTAAGGTCGGTTTTTAATTGTCGTTCTTTTCTATGTATCGTACGCGTTGCAATAGAATGTATTTATTCAGAATATTACATATGAATAATCGACTTTAATACCTATACTTTAAGGTCGGTATTTAAACGTAGATTGTTTCTACGTATTGTACGCGTTGTAATACAATGCATTAATTCAAAATGTTACATTTGAATAATCAACTTTAATACCTATATACTTTAAGGTTCATTTTAAATTATGATTGTTCTAGTATATCGTTTGTAATAAAAGAGAAAATGTAGAAATTGGACTGTAATGCTTACAACACTAGGTTCATTTTTCAAGTGTAAGGTTAATAGTAAATAGTTGATATATGACTTTTTGATTATAGTATTTACACAACGCCTTTACCTCTGAAAGTCGCAGGTTCGATTCCTCGCAAGATGAAAACTTTTGTATTCGTGAGTATGATTGTTTGTACCGGTCTGGGTGTTTTATATGTATATACGAAATGTATGTTATTTATATCAGTTGTCTAGTAATCATAACAAGCTCTGCTTAGCTTTACCTCCGATGGTCGCGGGTTCGATTCCTCGCACGATGCAAACATTTGTAAACATGAATACGACTGGTTGTATCGGTCTGGGTGTTTCTAAATATATTTTGTATGTATCTTATTTATACCAGTTGTCTAGTATAACAAGCTCTGCTTAGCTTGGGACTATTGGGTATTGATTTTTTTTTTATTTTTCTGCCACATCTCTCCTTCAAGCGTGACTACGTATTACTAGACAAGCGATCTGTCGATATTGTACAATGTAGGTCGGAAATGTATCAATGTGCCAAATGATTATGACACTTATAGATATGTACCATACGTCGTGAATTACTTCGTATAATATCATTAGTATATGACCTTTGTATTTTTAAACAACCTTATAATTATATATACTACTCATATTATACATATAATTATAATCAGTGAATATCTAAACGATGGTTTGGTAATGTTTTATTATAGTAATTATATATATATATATATTTATATCTATATATAATATACATGATATGTGTGTATGTGTATATATATAGTCCTGGGACGGGGTCGCACCGACCAATTCTGCGCATTTTCATGAATTTCTTGTTTTGTTTCGACATAAATATAATTAATTAAAACTAGATTATCTGTAGGTATCGTCCGGTGAAGCTGTAAAGGCCAGCTGCGACCTACAGCATTTTTTTCAGATTATAAAGAAATGGTGCACCCGCCTGCGCTAACGGTTTACGCTGGCGGGGCACCAGTGGAGGATGATAAGATGAGCATGAGGTCAGGTCAGTTAGCCCATCGTGAAATAACCAGGAATTAACCACGATGGTTTCCAGGAGGAACCGCGTGGAGGTCAACTAGATATGGTACATGGCTAGGTCATGAGTCCACATTACTAACAATCCACTTTCCCCCAACCAACAGCATTAGAATAGTCAGCGTAATTATATTAACGGTGCTCAGACTACAGTCGTATCCGTCAGGCCGGGGTTGGCCTTCAGCCGCTCCGTAAGTCCTTGGGTTTGGAGTGCCATCTGCACTCGCCCCCTATCGTCCGGTGAAGCTGTAAAGGTTGCGGCCAACAGCATTAGAGTAGTCCGAAAAAAAATTTAATTTGTTTGTATTATAATTAACAACAACCACAATGCTGGACAATTTATACAACGCCAACGCCATCTAGCTAAGCTAAGCAGAGGATTGTGAATTTATCCGACCTGACCTCATGCTCATTCTTAGTCCGCAAAAATTAGACTCAGCTAGGGTCGGAATTTGATCACCAATAGAGGTGGTAACGCTGTACCGGTGGTCAGGTTTCTGCACAGAATATATGTGAGATCGTGGAATTAAATAATACAATATAGATCCACGGAATCTTACCACGTTTTATATCTATTCCTGAGAGAACTCAGCAAATAAGTATAAAACGTGGTAAGATTCTGTGATTTTTACTAATTATACGTATAAATAACGACCGCGGTAAGTTTAAAACAGTATATAATATAGATCCATTAACCTGTTAACCGTGGAATTTCTCTTAATTACGCAACGTATAACGGGTACTGTCTCTCACTAGGACATGTCAGTACATCAGCACAATATAATTTAATGTAAATATTTTTGATATGAAATATTCCACCCGCTCCAGGTTCCAGGGCGTAGAAGAAATAAAAAAAATGTAGGTATACATATGTCCTACACGTACATAGAAGTTTGACGTTTGATGTATTTATACGTCCCGTTTGGTTAACAGGTTAAGTAATATTATCAGACTGACTGCCCTGTGCAACTTTATCTGCCTCCCACTTCTTGATATTTGTCCATGAATTTCCCCCGCTATACATAATATCTTTATAAATTATAGCCTACGTGTTATTCTGATGTGTAAGCTATATTAATGTAAAGTTTCATCAAAATCCGTTCAGTAGTTTTTGTGTGAAAGAGTAACAAACATCCATCCATGCTGACTAACTTTCTCGTTTATAATGTTAGTAAGATATGTGTATGCTATACCAAAAATATACATATTTGGCGTTAGTCTCTCAGTCATCTGGTGGTATAATACATGGGTGGTGCGACCCTAATCTAAGATCTCTTACCGAGAAGTAAAAATACAAAAAATGACTTATCATAAGTGTCCTATATGGACCTACTTGAAAAAAATATAATTGACAAACTCTGCCTACGATTCTGTATGCATGGAAGCATAATACGTTATAATTTTGCTTGTGAACCTTTTGCATTAAACTGATGTTTGAAGATTGCTACGATGTATTAGTGAAACAGTATCGAAATCGGTTAAGCCGTTTCTGTGACTAACAAGTATAACACAATAATAGTAAGGACTATATTTTTGATGTGTTACGGGAAGATTGCTACGATGTATTAGTGAAACAGTATCGAAATCGGTTAAGCCGTTTTTTTTTATATTGGCGAGCATAGACAATAATGTTTAGAACTATATTTTTGAGTATAATATAAGTACATAGT